GTGTGTGTGTGTCAAACTGGAAATTTTACTTCTGAATCATTTTATGTGGAAGAATAATGGAATATTACTCAGCCATAAAGGATGAGAAAATAGATTCACTCATAGGAAAATGGATACATATTGAAGATATACTCCTAAATGAAATAAATAAGGCACACATGTGTGAATACTGAATAGTCTCTCTGGTGTGAATCTGCAATGATACAGAAGATCCTAATAAGATTACTCACTTTTAGAAATGGGAAGAAAGGAGCTAAAGGTGTAGGGAAGGTGGGATGCGTAGGGGCAGGGTAATAAGGGAAAAGAAAAAAATGTGAGATAATGAAAAGATGGAAATAAAGTGTTTGTAGATGGGGAGGGGAGGAGGGGGTGTAGGGAGGGCAGGGACAAGGGGAAGAAATGAGAATCAAGACCTGTCATGTAGAGGTATAAGATCCCAACAATGAATGTAACTGTACTGTGTCCCTAAAATGTACCAATAAACTCAATTAAAGCTGAAAAAAAAAAAGAATATTCATGTTGAAATTTTGCTCCAGGTATAACTATCCCCCTTGCCCCATTTTCAACAAAAGAACCTTCAAAGAACACCAGTTACATTCACTGAATTTGGTCATAAATTGCAGATACAAAAGAGGTTACAACTGCCAGGGCCATCCGCCTGGCAACTGCGGTCACAGCTTTTCTCACATCGTGTCCCTTCCATCTGTAAGAGCAGCCTTTCCCTTCCAAGAGACAATTTTATACTGAATCTGACATAGAAGGCAAATCCTGTTCTGATATGGGTAGGTGTTGACGTTTCCAAAAGAAAGTCACAGTGTGTTCTTTCCCAGGGTTCTGAATATGAGATACAGCACGGGCTCTGTTCACCTCACCTCTGACTCTTAAACAGCAAAGCAAGTGCTCTACACAACAGGGTTTGTGGCTGCATTTGTCATCACAAATAGATGTGTTGATTATAGACATTAGAGAGAAGCAAAGCCACACACTTCATGCTTTTGTGAGAGGGAAGCCAGCCAAGAATTCAAATAGCAAAAGCTCTCAAAGATGCAAGCCAGAAAACAAATAAAAAACCCACAATTATAGTGGAAAAATAAATTTTACAGCCTAAGTTTCAGTTCTTGTACTTGTCAGTTTGCTTTGTGAATGACTTCAGGATAGAAGCTTGATGTTGGAAGATCTCCACAAAAATGACATCAGGAAGGACCAAATATGTGTCAGATCAGTGATAATTGTTCATCAGGAGCTAGTTTCCAGTGCTTACAGTTATCCTTTGGAACCCATGGGGCTTTAGTTCCAGGACCATCCTCCCAATACCAAAATCCTCAGATGCCAACCCCTTATATAAAATGGTGAAGTATTTGCATATATCCTGCACATAGCCTCCTGTATAGTTTAAATCATTTCTTGAGTACTTATAAATCTAATACAATGTAAATGCTGTATAAATATTTGTTACTGTGTAATTGCAAAAAAAAGTTCACACATATTCAGTACAGATGCAATGATTGGAAGCCATTCAACTATTTTCAGTCCGTGGTTGGTGAAACCTACAGATGTGGAATCTGTAGCATTGGAGGGGCAACTATGTATTCAAATCCCTGATATATCCTGTAATATTGTGCAATTTGCTTGGAGAATACAATGAAGGTGCATACAATAAAGGTAGTCAAATCAATGGACTTATACTTACTACAGGATAAGAGCTAGATATGCCATTATACTCCCCAGAAGTCTTCAGACCTCATCTTACAGTTATTTCAGAACTCTTCCCTTCAAAAATTTTCAATGATTCAAAAAAATACAAATGCATTGAATGATATAAATCCCACCTCCACTGTTTCCTGACAACTTTCTCAGAGAGGTGCTAATTAGCAATAAAATGGTCCCTGAGCAGGATTTGGAAAGAGAAGGAAATCAGGTACTAAGACAGTCCAAAGTTGGATAGTCACCCAAAATGAATTGTAAATTACTTTAGCTGTCTTTCACAAACTTTCTGTAATGTTAGGCACTTTTGTAAGCAACTCATCAAATGGCATTAAAACAGAACTTTATCAATAGGAATTCTTCAGAAAGTTTTCTGGGCAAAATCCTCTTTTTTTTCTGTTTCTTTTTATAAACAAAAGCATGGTATCCATATTTTGTCTGTAAGATAAACATGTGATTCTCTTACCATTGTGCTATCTCTAAAATAACTCTGACTCGGAGGCAGATGTCATTCCATCTATTGTCAGCCACTTTCAGTGGCAGAATTGCAAATGAAGTTGTAACCAGGTCACGTGGAGGTTTTAGTCAACTCTCTAACATGCAATTTCAATTACCAAAAAAAAAAAAAAGAAAAAAAAGTGTCCTTAATGATGAGTTCAATAATAGTGGGTGTGGAGGCACTTAAAGTTCCAGTAACATGCCAGGTTTTGCACTAAGAAATTAAATCATTGAAATGATATTTTCTTTCAAATGGGAATTGAACAAGTAGAAATGACTCACTATATTTTCTAATTGCCCTCAAGACTAGGCTTTATGTTTCTTCTTCACCTGCCTGGGCAGGAGGCAAAAGAGGTTGTGGAGATGCTGAAATTTGATAAGGCTCAGAAATTTCTCAGTGAAGCAATTTTTGAGAACACATAGCTTATATTCTACAAAGTTTCACTGTTATATAAAATTAAACTTATGTACCACGGATTTTCATGAACGATTGAATCCTGAAGCCAAACGCCCTTGACTTCATTATGAAATCCCCAGATGCTTTGCCAAGGAGGGCTAGTTAAAACCAGCCCTCTTGCAGAGTTACAGATGAGGCATTTATCCTGTTATTCTTCATCAGGAGACTAGCATGAGATACAAAGTTCAAGGGGAGCTGGAACTTTCCAGAACCTGGGGGAGAGGTCACACACTAGTTCTGGACATGACAGTCAGAGTATAATTATTTTCCCTCAAGTTGGTACTCTCTGGGGAAAGTTCAGAAAAGTCATTGCCTCCCTGTTGAATTTCCACACATTCTTCAAAATTCTGCTCAAGTAGCATTCTTTGGGAATTTCCTCCTTTCTGTTGCCAAGGCACAACTTCTTTTTTATATTTACCATTCTCTATGCACTCTATTAACTAATTCTACTTTTATAAAAGAAAACAAATGTGTTTACTTGTCTATCACTTTCACTATATTTTGAGATTATGATGATCAGAATTTTTTCCTTACTTGTCTTCGTAACCTCAGGATCTAGTACTCTGACACATGCTTTTGAAGACAAATTGAAGTTTGATGCTGATGACATATTCTTGGATATCTTCTCTGAAAACACTGACTGCCATAAATTCACAACACTTTCACATATATCACTGCACTACGGCAAATCTTAATTATAACAAAGGCACATCTGGAAAGTAAGAAAAAGGAATGTTTCAGTCATAGTAGAATAAGATGAGACATGAAATTTAGCGTTGGCAAGGGTGATGTTCTTTAAACAGGTGTTCTCAATATTGAGAGTGGAATGTGCATATATGAATTTTTATCAGTTACAGATTTGGCAGGAGATTATGAGTCTTCAGAAGTAGCTTTAGGAAATATCCACTCTTTCAGTCTACCAAGCCTGACACCTTGGAAAGATTTTGCTACTGAGAGATTATCAAAACTCATGAGTTCTCTTGGCATAATTTTTAAAAATGCCATTGCCAAAGAAAGCATAATAATACAAGTGTCTACCGAGTTGCTGTAGAAAAGTGGGTTCATTTACCCAATTCAGGGATCTAGCTGTTTACACTTTCTTGATTTAATCAATTCACTTCGAATTCAGAACATCAGTGAACAGTCAAAGGGAAGGCTGAGTGAGATGAAGGCATGAGGACCAGTCCTAAAATAAAGAGGTTGCCAAATAGTCAGAAAAACAAAATGTAGAAACCATGAAAATGTTGCAGCAAAAGAAAGAGAAGTAAAGGCAAACTAACAGTATCTAATTCATTTGTCATTTGTGGCTAGATTCTCATTTCGTTTCAATAATAGAATTAACTTAACTAGGGAACATGGGCAATTCTACCTTCTTTAATATTTTTATACACTAATTTTTCAATATAGTGTATTTTAGTATTTATAATTGTGAACTTTTGACCTTTGAATCTATCCAAATTGATTTTATTTAACACCTTCTATTGAAACGTACACTTATAAGGCAGGAACTCTGGTCTAGTTTGTTGAGTGCTCTTAGGCTTTAAACAACACCTGCCACACTAGTATTTATGATGGATATGCAAATATTACTCATTTTACTGTTTTTAACAATGCTATGGTCAAGCCAATATATCTAGGACATAATTCAGGTCATATCAGTACTATTACCGAGTTCTTTAGTGTCTGGTCACATTTCCTAGGAGACAACTGGTTATGTGGGTGTATATGCCATAGAAAGCTTTTCCTTATCTGGCCCTTACTGACTCTCTAGTCTTCTCTTCATTCATTCATTCATTCATTCATTCATAGATATGACTATATATTCATTTCAAAATTCTTGTTGAAATTTGGGGCCGTTGTGGTGACAGTGGTGGGAGCAGGGCTTTAAGGTAATCAAGAGAGTAATAATGGCTTTATTGTGTTAGTTTTGGTTCTTACAGGACTGGATCAGTTACCTCAAGAGCAAGTTGTGACGCAAGCCGCCTCTCGTGTCTTGACCCTTGTGTATGTGCCTACTTGCCCTTCCACTTCCCACCATGAGTCGACACAGCACAAGGTGAGCCGGTGTCACCAAAAGTGGCTGCTTAATCTTGGACTTTGCAGTCTCCAGCACTATAAGCCAGAATAAAACTCTTTTCTTTGTGAATTCTTCAGCTTTACATATTCTGTTATAGCAACAGAAAGTAGTCTAAGTCAGCAACACTAATGATTTCAATGATAGTGGACAAAGAAAACCAAAGCTACTGGCCGGTGAGTTGCCCACTGACACCACCAATCTTCCCCTTTCTCAGCAATCTCTGAAGTTAATGGCTGCTTTAAAAAAGAGACTCATAGAGCCTTCTTCCTGTATTTGAGGTAATGCTGATAAATTGTGCATATCATTCCTCTATTCACTGAAGCCTTTAATGTTTTGTTTTACAAGTACTTGAAAAACGAATAGATTCTTCCTATGAAATATATCATGATAATCTGTGTTTCATGACTGGGGATCTTAGAAGAGAACCTGAAAGAAACCTGATGAATGTTAGGCTTACTGTACATTAAAAAAAAACAAACAACAACTATGCTGATGAAAAGCTACAACTGTAGACTAGGTGTGTGCATTTTTCTTTCACAAAGTCTCTCTAAGAGAGGTTTTATTGACTCAAATGCTTTCTCATTTTAAATTAAAACTAAAAATTTTAATTAGCTTGTACTAGTTATACTTATTATGGGGTATAATGTGCCATTTTAATATACGTACACAATATGTAATGATCAGATCAGGCTAATTGGTATGTCTAGCACCTCAAAAAGTTATTCTTTCTTTGTGTCTAAAACATTCAAGTTCTCCCTACTAGCTATTTTGAAATATACAATTAGTTGTTGTCACACATAATTAGGCTACTAGGCTACAGAACATTAGAACTTATTCCTCTTATTCAACTGCATTCCATGTACCCACTAACCATTCTCTCTCTATCCCTGTACCTCACCCTTCCCAGATTTTGGCAAATACTATTTTACTCTCTATTTGTATGGGATTATTTTTTAATATTTCACATATGAGTGAGATCATTGGTACTTATCTTTATATGCCTGGCTTATTTCACTTAACAACTATCCATACCATTACAAATGCCAGATTTGGTTACAAATGACAGATTTAGTGGTTTAATAATATTCCATATTTTCCTCATTCATTTATTAGTGGATAGAGACTTAGGTTATTTCCATTTCCTGGCTATTGTGAATCATACTGTAATAAACATGAGAGTTCAGCTGTTTCTCTGATATATTGATTTCATTTCCTTTTAATATATATCCATTATATATAGAAAACTGAGCTTGAGGAAACAAACTTGAGGAGGTTGACTAATTTGTCCAAAGTCGTATGCATTGCAAATGGTGGAGTCTATATATGACCCAGGTCTTACTGATTTCAGAGTTAATTCTTTTAATTATTGCCTATTCTGTCTCCCAGGGTGTCTTTCAGTCTCAGACATGGTAGAGATAAATGGGAGTATCAAACCATGAAAATATAATTAGCAAAAAGGAAGAAAAAGATATTGGGGGTGTCTGTTTTATAAAAGGCTTGACCTTAGTTTGGTCCCAATGAGGTCTTTTTCATGTATATTTGATGCTCTCATTGGGTTTTAAATCTTAAAATCTCAAAAACGATTACATTACAAAAACAGTCAGACAATCATTAAAAACACTCTGTAATAGAAAGGAATGGGAACTAATAGCATGTGAAGGGTTCTAAACTGACTTACACCAGAGAAAAAAAATTTAAATCAAATCACTTATTTTTCTCAGTGAAAGGAGATAAGATATTCTCTGTATTAAACAAGACTCTATCAAAATACAGTGGGAGACCAACAGAACTTGAAAATCAAATGAACTGTTTTGGTTTATATCTAGATGTCCCCTCAAACCTTAATGAATTCAAGTTGGAGGCTTTTGGAAGATGGTGGGATTGCAGGTGTGTGATACAGCATTAAGGGTGTGATAACAGGATTTTTTTCTCCTAAGTGGATTAGTACAATTTTCTCCTAAGTGGATCCCCACACTGAGTGGTATCAACCAATAGGTTTGTAGGCTGTGTGGAATAAAAGGGAAAGCAGAAGGAAGGCTTGCTGTTTCCTATCTGCCCTGCCATGATCTGTGTCTCCTCTGCTCTACCTCTTCTGTCATCCTGTCCTGTCTTGAAGCCAGCCAACTAGGGACTGAAACTTCTACAAACTGTGAGCTAAAATAATCTTTCCTCCTTTAACGTGGGTGTCAGGTATTTTGTCCCAGTTACAAAAAATTAAGATACTAACAGTCAACAATGACCATAAGAAGATGTAAAATTGAGGAACATAGAAACATTAATTTGTAAAAAGATTAAGAAAATTACCGTGGATGTGAAAGTTAATAAGAAAATTTAAAAACGAGAAAGAGAATGCCATGATAATGGAACTGTGAATGAATCCCCACTGATGGAGACATAATATTCTTTTTGTGTTTCAAGTGTGCATAGGCTCTGTAGTGATGTCACTAATCTGTGTCTTTGTCTTTGACAAGTTTTTCCCAAAGTCTACCTTTACAATTTTTAAGTAATAACTTTTTGGCTTTGATTCCATCATGTTTTTTTTTCTATTTTATTGCTTTCTGCTCCTTCTATTTTTCCTCCTATTTTTGAGGGGTTAATTTTTCTTTTACTAACTTCTTGAGATAAATACTTAGATCATTTGTTTTATTTTTTAATTAATTAATTTTATTTGTACATTTAAGGTATACAGTGTAATGACATTCATCATTAGAAATTTGCACCTGTACATAATCTATCTTGGTTCTTATTTTTTTCCCCATTCCCCTGCCCTCCCTTCAACCCCTCCATCCGTCTACAAAGACTTTGTTTCCAATTCCATTTCCATTTTTTCTTTTCCTCTCTCCTTCCCACTTCACCTTCCTCTTTGCACCTTTTCTTCCTATTTCATATTATGTATTATACCTTTTAATCCTATTTACACTTTCAGTTTCTCACACTTCATGAAACTATTCAATATTTAGACATGTGTCCTATTTATTTCACTTAAGAGTATCAACTCAATGTGCATCCATTTAGCTATAAATATCTCTAATTTCTCATTCTTTATGGCTGAGTAATAATCCATTTTATATAAAAATATTTTCTTTATTCTGTCTCCTGTTGATGGGCAGTTGGGCTGCTTCTTGGTTTTAATTTTTATTCTTGTCTAATATATACACTTAAGACTAGATTTTCAGTGAATGATTTTAGTTGCATTTCACATATATTTTCCTTAGTGTTAATTTCAAAGTATTTTATAATTTCTATTATGATCGCTACTTTGACCTGGAAATTACATAGAAGTGAATTTTCTATTTTAGAAACACATGGGAATTTTCTACTTATCTTTTTATTATATAATGATATGCAGTCATATCCTTTAATGTGTGATTGTCACTCTTAGAATTTGTTAAGATTTTTTTTTTATGGTTCAGCAATTTAGAAAAATTGACTGACTTGAATAGCTATTGGCTGGAGGCCTCAGTTTCTCATTGGCTATTGGCAGAAGGTCATGGTTCCTCACCAAGTGGATTTCCCTTAGTGCCCCAATGACACAGGAGCTAGCATCCCCCTGAGCAAAGAAAGAGAGAGAGAAAGAGAGAGAGGCCACATTCTTTTCATTAGAATTCAGCTACTAAATAAGACCAATTCTCACCAGGAGAAAAATTAGGCTCAACCTTTAAAAGAGGAGTAACAAAGAACTTTTGGGCCTTTTAAAACCACTTAGAGTTTTCATGGCATGTATTTTTCATTGTTTTATTTCCAAACTATATTTGTATATTTTATGTTTAGCCCATAATAAGAATATACATATTTTTATGCCAGCCTGCCAATCTTTGTTTTTTAAGTTTTTTTTTGCCAGCCCATTTTCATTTACAGTAATTATGATATAATTGGTTTTAAAGCTACTATATTGTTATTTGGTTTCTCTTTGTCCTACTGGTGTGTATTTCTTTTTCTTTCCTATGCTTTACACCGAGTTGACTTGAAGGTCATAGGGAGGGCTGCTCTACCTTTTTTTCCTCATTGAGTTTATTGGTACATTTTAGGTATGCAGTACAGTTACATTCATTATTGGGATCTTGCACCTTTACATGACAGGTCTGGGTTCTCATTTTGTCCCCTTATCCCTGCCCTCCCTTTACCTCCTCCACTTTATTTCCATTTTTTCATTTTCTCATATTTTTTTCTTTTCCCTTATTACCTTTCCTCTACCCTTCCCACTTCCCCTACATCTTTAGCCCTTTTCTTCCTATTTCACATTGTTAATATCATTAGGAGCTTATATACAATTATAGTTTTTCACACCACAGAAAGTATTTGGTATTTATACATGTGTGACTTATTTATTTCACTTAGGAGTATATCCTCAATATGCATCCATTTTCCTATGAATGAGTCTAATTTCTCATTCTTTATGGCTGAGTAGTATTCCGTTTTGTAGAAAAACCACATCTTCTTTATCCAGTCTCCAACTGAGGGGCAAATGGGCTGTTTCCAAGCTTTAGCTTTGATGAAAGTCATTCTCATCTTCCTCAGAGTCCTCTTCACAAATCAGCAAATACTTGTAAAGAAAAGAGTTCCCATTAGGAGCTTATTTCTGTATTTTTTTTCTATTTCTATTTCAACATTGTGGCTCTGTAATTCCTTGCTATTTTGTTGATTCTTTAAAGCTTTCAGCTAGAATATTTAAAAGTCTATTTCTAGTCATTTATTTGTTTGTGTTTTTGGTACCGGGGGTGGAACTCATGTCCTTGAGCTTGTGGGGCCAGTGGTGGAACCACTGAGTTACATCCCAGCCCTCTAGTCTTATTTGGAAAGGTTGTTCTGAATACCTCAGGTTTTCTTCAATGAAGTGTAGCTTTATCTCATTTAATTTTTAAAAATGGTGAAGTAATTATTACTAGACCCTTTTATCAGTGAGAAAACTCATGTCAGATGAGCCAAGCAAATTGTTCTGTTCCATTTAGAAAGCAGCAAGCTTATGGGATGGAGTTTAG